CAGGCGACTCGACGGCACATAACAACAACAACAACATGTCTAATGTATAGGTATAGAAGTTCTGGGGGACATTATATGTAATGAGTTGCCCTTGTAAACAAAAGACTGGGTGACTCCACTGGTTCAAATCTACCATCTGCTCCTCAGAAGAAAAATGAGTAGTTTCTACCTATTACAATTTCCAGCCTTGGAAATGGAATGGAGGTTTCCTGTCAGTTGGAAGCAACAATATAGCAGTGAATTGAGTTGAGTTGGTGTCTAGTATGCCATGAACTGCCAGAAAAACAAATCAGGCTTCGAAGTACAAGCGGCATGTTCCTTAGAACTGAGGCAGGTGAGACTGGGCCTTGCTTACTATGCCCGTGTTATCAGGGGGAAGCAGTAGTCGCAGTGTAGGCAGTTCCGCACCTTTGGATGGTCGTGTTGAGGAGATTATTGAATATCCCGTGGTCTGTCAACGAACAAACACGTCTGTCACGGAGGGAGGGCAAACAGGGCTCCTCAGAGGCGTGGATGGTGATTGGTCCCACGTGCTTTGGAAGTGTTGTCAATAGAGGTCAGTCTCTGGAAGGAGATCTCAAACTGGCGAAGGTCTGGAGAGCCCACAGGAAAGACCCTCAAGGAGAAGGGTTGACACAGTGACTTTAACCATGGGCTCAAAGGTATCAGAGATGAGGACGGCGCCTCAGGATGGAGCAGGGTTTGCATCTGTTATGCACAGGGGCTACTGTCAGCTTTTGTTGACTCGAGGGTCACTAAGAACAACAACAGCAACAGTATTAATGTTTGATTTAAGATTGGGAAGGATCCGTCATGGTCCTGAAAACATGGGGTGATGGTGGGCACAGTTCAATGAGGCTTAATAAAACACAGTGTATGGAAATGAGTGTATGGAACACAATGGGAATGAAGGAAAGTGTAAAACACAATAAAAAAGATTCATGTTTAAAGATTCATCATCTTTGCCTCCAAGGAGCACTCTGGCTATACTTTCTTCAAGACTTAGCTATTTGTCCATTAATAGTTTATGTTTAATGCTGAGCTTTTTCTTTAAAAGGTTCGGTCCTTTCGGTCATGTTTGACCTGAGGTTCCCCCTTGCCTTCCTGCTGTTAGCTTCGTCTGTGTTACTTTCCCAGAACCACATTGGGGCTCCCAGTAGGCTTCTTCCCACACCAAGATCTTCACATGTGCTCTGTTTCAGGCTCTGTGTCTAGGATTCTCCAGACTCTTATGTCAGCTCCTCTTAAGTGTCCCCTCACAACCATCTGAACTCCCTCCCTCTCCCAGCATCTCCCAGCTTGGAACCGGATGACCGTCCTGTCACTGTCTTCCACGATGCGGATTTGCTTGGCTCGCTCCTGCTCGAGTGCCCAAGACTCACCCCAGGCCGTGAATCCTCAGCACAGAGCAGTGTTGCACTGACACAGTGGATACTGCAAGACTAACTAACGCTATTCTGTTAAACGATTATAGCTGTTTTCTTTTTCTCGTTTCAGCTGGGAAGTTGTCAATTCCAAGCCAGAGGAAAGACCCAGACTGAGCCACTGCATTGCAGAATCATGGGTGAACTTCAGCCTGTTTCTCCAAGAAATGGCTCTGTTTAAGCAGCAGAGCCCCGGCAAGGCAAGTGCCCCTGATCTGGACCAACACTGTGCCTGCTTCTGCAGGTCCCACAGACTGCACAGAAACGAACCCTGGGGGTACTGTGGGTTAAATGCTGGAATGCTAACAGCAGCAGGTGGCTCAAACTCAGTAGTTACTCCATGGGAGAACGATGTTCCCATAAAGATGATTGGTGTTCTCAGGGTTCTCTGGAGTCGGCTCAACTCCTAGCGACAATTTATACACGAGAGCGAAGCCCTGTCTGACCCTTCGCCATTCTCACAGTCTCTGGATGTTTCATTAAGCCCAGTGTTACGGTCACGGTGCCAGACCACCTCATTCAGGGTCTTCCTCCACTTCTCTGACCCCCCTACTTTCCCAAGCATGGTGTCCTTTTCTAGGGACTGACCCCTCCTATTAACGTACTCCAAGTATGAGATTTTTACAGCCTTGAAAATCCTGTGATGCAGCTTTAGTCTGTGCTATATAATTTGTCTCCAAGCATTTAGGATCACTTCAGTGATGGGCAGTAAGGGAGTCCTGCATCATGAATGCTGGTGGTTGTTGTGTACCTTCAAGTAAAAAATTCCCATAGCCGACCCTCCAGTAGATTTTCAGAGGCGGTAAAGTGAATGGGAGTTGATTGCCCATTTTTCTCCTGCAGAGCTTCTGGTGGACTCGAACAGCTTACCTTTGCATTGGCAGCACAACTCCTTACCACTCAGCCACCAGAGCTCTTTATGAATATGAAATACTAGGAATGAGTGCCATAAACACACACATACACACACACACCCCAAAAAAACACGCAAAAAAAAACCCAAACAAGCAAACCCTGCCATCCACAAGATACAGAAATGAAAATATGCTGACATAGAAGACCCCTGACTTCATAATATGCAAGTGTTACTGCATTTTACATACATATAGTGGAGTTCTGGTGGCCTAGTGGCAAGAAGCTGTGCTGCAATCCTGAAGGCACATGGTTCGAGGCCACCACTCACTCTGTGGGAAAAGAATAAGCAGTCTCCTCCATGCAGTTAACTGCCTCTAAAAACCCACCAGAGGGTCAGTTATGGTTTGGTTCTGAATCTGTGGTACACAACAACAACAACTACAACAACAATGTACATATATTAGACTCAAGAGTTAAAATAAATAACGATTACTATTTTCAGCCAGTTGGTAATATCCAGCCGGTTTCTGAGGCTATGGGGAGAGACACGAGACACACTCGCCGTCCTCTCAGGGGATTTGCTGAGGGAAGGGAGTCAGTGTCACTTTCAGTCTAACAAGTAAATATTCAGGTGTGATTTTGATTTGAAAGAAAGCCTTTGATAAAAGTGTTCTTGGAAATGAAATGAATGGAGTGGGCGTCTTTTGCAAAGATGAAATGCAGCAGGCATGAACGTTTTTGTCACAGTGTGAAGCACGCAGACACAAGTGCATGGATGTCCTTAGTATTCGGGCAGCTCTGATGTTACCATCTGGATGGCCAGAGCCCTCCACGAAACTTTCCTCTCACAGCTCAGCTTTCTTGACTGCCAGTTTTTTTGAAAGAAGAGCATGGGAATGCAGCATGTGAAGTCCCTCTCTTTAGTCCCCAGTTGATTCTGTGTGCTGTCCAGTCAGAACCAACCCATAGCTGACCCTCCAGTAGGTTTTCAGAGGCAGTTAATCGCGTGAGAGGACATTGCCCATCCTGCAAAACATCTGGTGGATTCGAACATCATGCCTTTGGGATTGCAGTGCAGCTTCTTAACTAGGGTGTGGAGTAGAAATCAGATGGAGATGCTATGGAGAAAATGTTTCTGTCTTGATGCTCCTTTATGAAAATTGCATAAATTTTATGAAAATATTTTATTCTTTTTTTAAAAATTGATTTTAATGAAAGTTTACAGAGACTTTGGATTTCCATTCATTCATTGTTACACTTTTCTCCCTGCCACCCCTCCCCCCAACTTGCTTTTCTTTTTGAAAAGTAAAAGAAAAAATTCTTTCATTTAATTCATTCCTTAAAACAACCAAGGGTGATAGTGATAACTTGGGTAACACTGACCACAAGGAAGGAAAATAATGGTTCACATTTGCCAGTGGATGTTTTATTCCAAGGCAGGTGGGTTCTAGGGGGCATACAAATGGTATCCTTTGAGGGGTCTGCCTGGCCTGGATAGCTAGTAGATTTAATCCCAGGAAATTAATTAAGAGCTGTGCAAATTATCCTTAAATTTGTGTAAATGCCTCTAATTCCTGTGACATGTTTTGTTTTGTTTTGGTTTTTTTCTGGCTTGTGAATTTTGATGGGTAGTTTGAAGTAGTTTGAAGTTGGAGATTAGGTTACCAGGCTGTGATCACCAATAAGTGATGCTTATTATGAGAAATTTCTGTGAATATTGTCCTCTTTTCTTCTCTGTACCTGACAGCCATACCGCTGCATGCTTGATGAATGTGCTTCCTTGCTCTCTGTTACCGATCCTAGCCCCTGAGCCCTCAAAAAACATCATTGGTCGGTAAACAAGGACCCATTTTTGACTGATAAAGTCCACTAAGTCTGGTTGGACAGAGGAGTCAGTCATCAGGGCCAAAGTACAAAACCACATTAAAAACTCTTCCTCTTAGCCTCATTGCTCACATCTCACAGAAATAACTCACATCTCACCAAAAACAAATGAACAATAAAAATCCACTGCCATCGAGTGGACGCCCGCTCAGGGAACCCAATAGTACACACACATCTGCCCTACGGGGTTTCCAAGGCCTTACATCTTTCAGGAGGAGGGGAGGGGAGGGGAGGGGAGGGGAACACGCGCGTGCACACTCGCAGTGCTCTGACAGATCTTGGTGGTGTAACCATCTCATGTCTTTTTTTGGTTGCAGTTTTGTCTTCTGGTCTGCAGCGTCTGCACATTTTTCACCGTCTTGGGAAGTTACATTCCTGGGGTCATTCTCAGCTACCTGCTGTGTAAGTATAATGGACGCTTCTCGTGAAGCACCTGGTGTCACCTGACTGTCATCAAGCCAGTGGTCTGGAGGAGGAGGGATGTGGGCTTGACTGTTAAGAAGAATGAGGCTGATAT